ATAAATACGCAAAAGATGGTAGCTATAACTTTTTTCCTTCTCCCTCTCTCCTGCTTGTTAGGATTCCCCAGGCTTTAGACCATGGTCCTCTACCATTTCCATTTATTCCCATTTAGAGTCTTACTGAGCTGTGTGGCATTAGCCAGCACATTCTTTAATGGTGCACAAGTCTCCTCCTCCATCTTGGCCTTCTCAGTGGAGCGTTATCGTGCACATTTTTGACTGACATTAAGACATTGCCTATGACATATCCTCCTGCCCATGATCTGACCATCCCCAAATTAGTATGCCCTTCCCATTTCCTCATTTCCGTCAGTGGCACCCCTATATGTCCTTATTCTCAGGCTTGAAAGTTGCATTCTTTACTCCCCATAGCTGATTAGTCATTAAGCCCCCCTTGCTCTTTCTCAGAGCTTCGGTTACCCTTCATCTCGTGACTGACAGTGAAGCTAGCTGAGAAGCCATTTGGTGCACTCCCATTCAGCCTCCTTACTGCTCTCTGCCCTTGATATCCTTGTTTTCTCCTTTGTGCTTTTGTTCATGATGCTCAAGGGACACTTGATGATCTTTAAGCCAGTCTCTTATTATTTACTGACTTACACTGCTCGCTCTTTGAAATGTGTATGTCTTTTCTCTTCAGCTAGGTTGTAAACTCCTTGAAGACAAAAAACAGGTAATAAACTTCTCGGAATTACTGTCATAGGGCTAAACACAGTGCTCAATAAAGGCCTCCTAATGGAATGAATTGATTGAATATAACCCTCTCTTGTTAAGAAAATGTAATAGCATTCTCTTGCCTGTTAAGTCAGTCCCAAGCTCTTCAGACTGGTCTTGCAGGTAGACCGTCAGAGGGCTCCACCCTAACATGCTCTTAACATCAGCTCTTTCCTGACGTGGGCCTTCCATTTGGGTGACACCACATGCACACGCACACACACACGCACACGCACACACACACGCACACGCACACACATACACTGAACTGGGCATTAAAGTTATAATCTTTCTGTCTCAGTTTTGCCTGGGGCCTCAAGACAGTAGGTTCTTAACAGCCCACATTGAAAAATACAATGCTGGATCACTTGTGACGAACTTGTAAAGGAGGTAGAGAAGACCAGTGTTGTGACCCTTTTCCCAACAATAGACTGAGGTTGGCAAGGACTGGGAAGTCAGGAAGAACTCTCCCAAGAAAGTTGTTTCAGTGCAAAGGCATGCCTCCCTTCCAATGGCAGTGATGGGGGGCTTTCTCCTCATATCATGTCCAGTGAAGGGTCTTGAAGACGACTCCACAGAGAGCTTGATATATGTTTTCTGGAGTTCCAAGGGAAAAATGGAACCGATGTGTAACTCATGATGAGAAAATTTAAAGGTTCAAGTCTGTGGCCGGGGTTGCTTGTCTGTTGGCAAAGGAAAGAAAGGCAGGTAAATTCGGAGTCAAGAGTACTTTTGCTGCAGGTTCCCTGTAGACCAGTTGCCGAACCAGCTGGGTCCCTTTGAAATGAAAGCAGACCACACTCAAAGGACTTCTGGAGATGGGTCAGTTTGGCAGAAAGAAGCTGGAGGTGTTCCAGTGGGGAGGGCTGAAGGTTGTAAGGGGAGGATGTGCCGCCTTTCATCAGACTCCCACCTTCTTTGTTAGCTCCTCTTTCTCACTTGCTCCTGAATGTTGAAGGAAGTTAGTGTGATTTTATTAATCCTCCCATCTACGTTGGCACTAGCGGTGTGTTTGAAAACTCAAAGGCATGAAGCTTCACAAAAGCATTTCAGGGCTCCAAGGAGCCCAAGGAGTCCGTAAGTTCTGGATGTCTCCGTGAGAATGAATGAATGATAGACGTGCATTGAACAATTAAAGCTGCGTGCTTCCTTGACAGGTGATACAGGCTTGCCATTCTTGTCCCAGAGCAATCGAAGTTGTAGTCAATGCCTATGAACACATCAGGTGGAACGTAAAGTGGAAAAGAGCTATCCCCGACGATGACTTGGAGGTAAAGAATCCATTCACTTTCTGTGGTTTTCACTGTAAAATAGTTCAAGACTGCAATAGAAGTACAGAAAATTCTAATTAAAAAACTGGTCTTGAGAATGCTTTTAAGAGATACTCAAATGCAGTGAGACAAATGGTTATAAAACGTGGATATAAGAGGGACACCTGGGTGGCCCAGTCGGTTAAGTGTCTGCCTTCGGCTCAGGTCATGATCCCAGGGTCCTGGGATCGAGCCCCGAATCGGGCTCCCTCCTCAGCAGGGAGTCTGCTTCTCCCTCTCCCTCTGTGTGCTCAACACACTCTCTCTCTCTCTTTCTTTCTCAAATAAATAAAATCTTTAAAAAGAATGCAGATGTGAGAATAAATAGATACATCGTGTATGTAGCATTTACAAATGTCTGGAGGATTTCTCCATTTAAGGGCAAGTTGAACATTTGTATATAAGTGACAGTTTTACTTTCTCCTCAATAATTTAGATAATTTAATAATAATAATAGTAGTAGTAATATTTGAGATTGCTTATGTAATATTTTTACCAGAAGATTAGTTTTTCATGTAGGTTATTTCATTTGCTTTTTTGAAAAGATATATTTATTTATTTTAGAGAGATAGAGAGAGAGGAGGAGGATGAGAGGAAGGGACAGAGGGAGAGGGAATCTCAAGAAGATGCCACATTGAGCACTGAGACCCACGTGGGGCCCAGTCTCACAACCCTGAGATCACAACCTGAGCCGAAACCAAGAGTCAGACACTTAACCGACTGAGCCACCCAGGCGCCCCTATTTCATTCACTTTTAGTTATCTTGAAGACTTTAGGTATATTAAAAATCCTTAATGAGTCATGCAGAAAGCCATTGACAAAGCTGAGTTCTCACTCTGCAAATGGACTTTGCTGCCTTGGTAAACCAGCCCTCCCACTGAGCCTCCCATTCTTGGCTTTAGCAGTCACAGGCCCTCTCCAGCATGTGGAGAGGAACCAGGCACAGAGTGCAAAGCTCATCGGGCTCAGAGCCTGATGGCTTAGGTGCAAATGTACTCTGCTACTTTTGAACTATCTTACCCTTAAAAAGTTACTTATAATATGCGCTAGTGTCACTGATAGAAAAAATATCTGAATGTATGGGCCACATAAGGCACATAGAGGGTATCCAGTAGTATTTAGATTAATTTCAAATTGCTGTTTTGATATACGCTGGTCCAGGCAGTTCGCAGGAGTATATTTTATCTCATTTCCAGGGTTCTGAATTGTAGCATGGTATACCCCCTCGTCTCCCTTTTCTCCTCACATATCACTGCCTCAGCCCTTGTCTCAATTTCATGTTTAATTTTATCTCACGGTCAGAGACCCTAGAAAGCTGCCACTGTGTGAAAAGTAGGGACTAAGTGCGTCATTGTTGATTTCTACTGATGTAAACCCCAGGGCTTTTCTGCCTCTGACCTGTCATGCCTTCCTTTACAGAGACACTGGGATTTTTACCACTCTCTCTTCACTGTGTGCAGTAACTCTCCAAGGACTCTCATGCATTTATCGAGATGCGCCATTCGAAGAACGTTGCACAACAGATGTCACCGAGCAATTCCTTTGCTGTCCCTCCCACTGTCATTGAAAAAGTACTTGCTTTTGGAGCCAGAGGGAATCATTTATTAAGCCTTATGAGACCGAAGTTCCCAATCCTAGATATTTAAGTGGACTCACCGGGTAGACACAGTTTGCATAAATAAAATGGTACTTGGGTTGATTATAACACTTCAGGGATTTCAAAACACTTGACAAACTCTATGTCATTAATCCTAGGGTATCAGCGTGAGGGGAAATAAACAAGCAGTAAAGTTAAGGAATTCTCAAAGACAAGAATGTATCCAGAAGGTACTGACAAGCAGTAATGACTAATGTGTATAGTGTTTTTCCTCGGTGCCTGATATATTTTTGTAAAACTTTTCATATATCATCTCATTTGAAATGGGACCCGGCTTTTCTTACAACCAATCTCATTCTCTCCCTTCTCAGTAATAGGTTTACATTACTGTTCAGTTGGCGAAATCATAGACTTTGTGATTGGCCTCTTAATCTCAGTGGCTTCCCCCAAACTCCCCTCCCACCACGGTTACCACTTAGCAGAGATTATGGTCACTAGTTTTGCAAACCTCTGTCCCCACTCTAAGCTCTTTAACTTATTTTTGGTGAAGAGAGCATATGAGCCTCATCAAAACAAGGAGATCTTTGAGTTAAAGGAGAAATGAAAAACAAAGACCAGTCCACTTAGTAGCCAAAAAATGGACATTTCAACATACGCTCGTTGAGCCATAGACTGGAGATGCAACGGGGAGTCTACAGCGAGGACTCCTGCCCTCCAGAATCTCACCATTTAGCAGAGGATCCGGACATACAAGCAGGAAACTGCAATGTCAAATGTCAGGGGTAACAATACAGGGTGCAAACTCATTTTTAGTGTTTCTGTTTCAAAGTCGTGTTTCTGACCCGAAGCGTGATTTTCCTTTTAAGCATGAACATGAAAGAGTGAAGGGAATTGCGTGACATAGAGGGAGGCCCCGCTGCTGTTAGTGTAAATGTAGGACTTTCAGTTTCTCTGAACATCTAGAAACTCTTTGATTTTACTATGATTTCCTGTTTAGTAAAAATATTGGGAAAAAATATTGCACACTCAATGGCTCCTATGTATGTGACAAGAAAGTTGAGTAAGATGTGTACAAGGAAGTGTGTGAAGGGAAGCCCTTCAGTTGATGACTTGGTCTCATTGTGTAATAGACTGACATTTCAGAGCATTTTAGCTGGAAGATAAGGAGCACTTTGCGAGCGATGGCTGGCTACTGAAAGAGCAAAAGAAAGACTCTGAAAATGGTTAAAGTTGAAGAAACTTGGAAAGATAAGTGTGTCTATCAGGCTTGTTAGTTAGTGGTTTGCAGAAAGTGAAACCTAGATGATTAACCTCTGGACCTCAGGGTTGATGAGGCCAACTTTGCTTCGCCTTTTTGTTCTTGCCAATCACTTTTAGGTGAGCTCATTGCCTCTTAGCGTCGCTTTTTTAGAAGTTAGAGCAGAAGTAATTAAGTACAAACCAATCCATTTGCCAGTTGTGAGCAGGTTTCTTTTATTTGTGTGGTTCTTCATCTTTTTTTTCTTTTTTCTTGTGAGAGAGAGCACAGAGGGAGAGGGAGAAGCAGGCTCCCTGCTGAGCAGAGAGCCCTGATGCAGGGTTCCATCCCAGGACCCTGAGATCATGACCTGAGCCAAAAGCAGACGCTTAACAACTGAGCCACCCAGGCGCCCCATGGTTTTTCATCTTATTTAACTTTAGTTCCTTGAGTTTTGAGTAGAGATGATGTCAAATATTCCACCAGCCCACCACCTAGACTGTGCTTCTAAACTGAGATTCTTATACGTCCTGTGCCCTGTAGGAAAAAGCATGGCTAGATACAATAATGTTTCTGATTTTCCTCAGTCTTACTCAGATATTTTGAGTGAACTAATTTGTACTAAAACAAGATCTATACTGTGGAATAGGATGCTGAATTTGTATAAACTATTCATATAAAAACGTTGATCCTTCAAAAAATTGTTTGCGGCAAGTGGTGTTGGAACACATCCTAGAATGCTGGGCGGGGGCGCATGTCGCCCTCACCTTTAGGAATATTCTGGCCGAAAAATTTGTGATGCACTGTCTTTGTCAATAAAACGCTGAAGACAAAGGGAGAGGGTATTCCTGCATTAGGAAATGTTTCTCAATCTGCTTGCTTGTGCTTAGACATTTTATTAGTACATAATACGTGCCTACTTGTTTTGAATTGTTTACTCACACATTTAAAGTCATTTCTCTTTATCTTTGAACTTTTATTTAGAGGACTTAAATAAAGCTCTTGTTTCCTTTCGTCTTTGGGAGTTGTTTATCTACTGATAAGACTTTTTTCCAATTGGCTACAGCTAGAGATCTCTGAAGAGCCCTACATGTTTCATTGCTGCCTTCAACATTGAGAAAGAAAAAGAGAATGAGGAAATGTGCCAGTAAATGAATAATATTTTCAAAAGAAAGTAAAGGGTAAACACAAATAAAAGGCAGGCTGTTACTGTAGGAACAAGAGTGTTTTTTTTTTTTTTTAAGATGTATTTATTTGTTTTAGAGAGAGCAAGCAGGCACACGTGAGCAGGGGAGGGAGAGGGAGAGAAGCAGACTCCCTGCTGACCATGGAGTCCAACTGTGGGGCTTGAACTCACCACCCTGAGATCATGACCTGAGCTGAAATCAAGAGTCAGATGCTCAACCAACTAAGCCACCCAGGTGCCCCGGAAAAAAGAGTGTTTTAATCATAATAAAGAAATGCTACCACAGTCATTCTCTCCTGCCTGTCTCCATCTCTGTCCTCCTGGTCCTTTCATTCCCCTTCATTCTCCCCATTCACACAACCCCGGGCAACAGCAACAGAGGAAATGATGTCTTCATGCCGCTTTTGTAACTTTCTGTAAATAGTCATTTAGTGGCCTGAGAAAACAAACCTCTTCTCTTTTGTAAGTTACATGTGAGGAAAGATCTTTAATAGGAGGGAAGACCACCCATCCAGCGTTCTCGCCTTCTCAGGATCTAGACGCACTTGTGTTCTATTTCTTAATCACTTAGTGTTACATTGCCACTTTGTCCTTCCATCCTGAACCCAGTGGCTTCTAATAAAAAACACAGCAGTTGAAAACTGATTGTACAGATAACCATTTGCAGTGAGTTATCAATGTTGGAAAGAACAGCTGAGCCTTATGTTTTTGTTACTCATTGGATTGTTTGCGAGGAACTCAAGTTTTAAATTGGCACACTTTCAAAACTTTAAGAAAAACAGTCCAAATTATTCACTCATTTTCTTCGAAACACAGACACCATGGCTGGTGTCTGGAAGAAATTCATTGTCACTCTCCTAAGAGTATAAACAGATGCATTACAGTTAGATGTTAAGAGTTTTGGCTCTGGTACCCGTCTACCTGTGTTCATTTTCTGACTTCCAACCTTATCTGATCCATTATCTAGGGAAAAGGATGCACTTGGTCCCTGACTCAGTTTCCTTATTTATAAAATGGGAATGATAATGGTAACTATATCATAAAAATTTTACATGATTGTCTTGAGGTGTAGAGGAGGAAAAAGTTTTCCTTGACTCTCTTAGGATCTCAGGTTGGGTCTGAAAATTAAACTGACAAAGATCATAAAAGAAAGGCATACAAGGTTCTACATGATACGGAATCTTCATAAGGAAATGAGGATCTGAAAAAACAGAACTGAGTATTTTTATGTTAAGTTTGATTAAGAGTGGGCATTGTGTAGAAAATATGATGGATCCTTAAGGAGTATGAGGGGAAACTTAGCAATCCTCTTTGTTAGTATTCTTCTCTGGTGTTCCTTTGTCTTAAGAGATAAAGATGCTTCTTTCCTCCAGGTACAGGGAGGGCACCTCCCACGGGAGGGTTTTCCGACCTGTTTCAGGGGAGAAGATGTGGGAAAATCAGAGTTACCTTCTTGCTCCTGCTGTTTTCTCAAACTCCTTCAGCTTGAAGTATTCAATATGACAAGATACCATACTTTGGGCAGCATGTCCTAAAACCCCATCAGAGGGTTAAATTGCTTTCACATTAAATCACATAGAACAGTAAGCATTTTCTCAGTATCATTGTCCTTGTTACTTTCATAATTATTATCATTTAGGGAGAGGTTTCTACCAGTAGGGTGAAGCTATAGCCAAAAGGGATACATGGTAGATTTTTGCTCACATTGACAAATACTTGTTGAGCTCCTACTATGCACTAGGCACTTTGCTCGGGGCTGGAATCAATGAGGGAAACAAGACAAACCAGGTCCCTGACTTTCTTGGGCTTTTCGAGATAGGAGATGAAGGTTGAAATTACATGGATTTGGATGATTAGCAAACAAGCGAATTAATTACTTTAGGAAAATTTTCCCTTTTGCAAATGGGTTTATCAAGGATGCAATGAGTATGATAGTTCACCAATTAGACAACCTTGATGGAAGCAGAAGGTGAAAGTTTGTTGTAGAGAGTAGAAGATGCGGTTGGCAGGGCTGGGAGGATCAAATTATGAAGTATCTTGAATCATGGGGAAGCACCATCGGGAATCAATGGAGTATTAGTATCATAATTGTTCTTTTTCCAACCTTATAACTTCTATGGTAGTAATAATTATGATACAACTGTGTAACATTTATATGGTATTTTAATAATGTTCAGAGAACCTTCATGGTGCTTAAAACAGGTAATTGCCTTTACCATTCCCCTCAACTCCTCTTCCCTGCCCCTCTTACAATTCTGAAGATTTAGACATGAAAAAAAAAGTCTAAACATGACATTAATTAACCCTTTTCTTGTGTAAACCATTCCAATCATATGGAATGATTTACTCAAGCAAATAAATGCCTATATAGCTTTGCATTTTTTTTAAAGTATTTTATTTATTTATTTGAGAGAGAGAGCACGAGTGGTGAGGAGGAACAGTGGGAGAGGGTGAAGCAGACTCCCTGCTGAGCAGGGAGCCTGACAGGATCCCAGGACCCTGGGATCATGCATGACCTGAGCCGAAGGCAGACGCTTAACCGACTGAGCCATCCAGGTACCCCAAGCCTTGCATTTTTTTTTTAATATCAAAAGCTAAAGAATGTTTTTTTTTTAGGGGCACCTGGGTGGCTCAGTTGGTTGGGCGATTGCCTTCGGCTCAGGTCATGATCCTGGAGTCCCAGGATCAAGTCCCGCATCGGGCTCCCTGCTCGGCGGGGAGTCTGCTTCTCCCTCTGACCTCCCCTCTCTCATGCTCTCTCTCTCTCAAATAAATAAATAAAATCTTAAAAAAAAAAAAGAATTTTTTTTTTTTTTAATTTACAGGGGGAAAAAAGGAACTCTTGCTTCCAAGACATAAGAGAGTGAAGGAATAGAGGCAAAATTTGAAGTTCTAAGACTGCATATAATTCTCGTCATGGCAGTGTTCAAGTGATAAATTGTTTACAGAAGCACTACTTGATTATGGTCCTTCAGGGGCCCCAGACCTCCCAACACTGCTGAAGTCTGTGCAACAATGAGAAACCTCTTAGGATGATCCACCAGAGAGAGCTTAGGCAGCCTCAAATGGTTTCTAAGTAACCTTTGGGTAGTTCTACAATAAAGATACCTATAAAGAAACTGCAGTGTTTGCTCCCATTTGTAAGCAATGCAGTGCCGCTCAGGGGGCAAAATATGGATTTTGGAATTCAATAGTTTGGGATTTCAATCTGGATGGTGCCGCTAAATATGTGTGAATTTGAGCCGGTTTCTTAATCCAAGTGTCAATTTCTTTATTTGGATAGAAAAGATTAACTTCCTGATTTACAGTGCTCTTTTGGGAACTAAATGAAATGATGCATGTAAAGCATCTAAAGCAGGGTCCTCTATGTAGTTGAACCCCAGTAAATGCTCAGATGCTACATGGGTCCGCTGTGTGTGCACAGAGGGGACGGAATTATGTAATTATGCTGGAAGATATACAGTTTCCAAGACATTCATGTGCACAGGCCCGAGAAGTGACTTGTGGTTTTTATTGCATTTTATTTAATGATGACGATTTTCCTGTGGTACAAGCTCTCCTATGGCACGCTGTTCCAAGCCCCCTGGATGTTGGTTTTCTGCTCTTCGTAGCTTGGCCTGAAGAGGGCAGTGTAGAACTTTCTCCCTGCCATGAATCAGAGCTGTGGGCTACTAACTGGCATCTAGTTCCCCCTTCTTCTTCTTTTTTTTTTTAAATTTTTTATTGTTATGTTAATCACCATACATTACATCATTAGTTTTTAATGTAGTGTTCCATGATTCATTGTTTGCGTATAACACCCAGTGCTCCATTCAGTAAGTGCCCTCTTTAATACCCATCACCAGGCTAACCCATCCCCC